TTTTTTTTTTTTGTAGCACTTTATCTCAATCTCACATGCTATATATTTTACTTATGTATTGTCCTTATTTCCCCACTAAAAAGTGTCATGGAAAAGACATGTAGTTTTGTTCACTGCTATATCCTTGGTACATAAAATCACGCCTGGTACATAGTGGCCATTTAGTAAATAAGTACTGAGTGAGTTAGTGAATTTTTCCCTCACTATTTAGTTACAAATCTAGGTTATAAATAATGTTCTCTCTGAACTTTCAAGGCATTGCTCTATCATCTTTTGGTATCTAGTGTTATTAACATGAAATGTAATGCCAATCTGACTTGTTTTCCTTTTATAGGTGACCTATTACTCCCTTTTTAAGAGCTTTAATATTCTTGGATCTCTAGAAATTCCCAACAATGTAAAAAGATGTGGGGTTTTTTTTCCCCACTGATTCTATTAGGCATTTCACTGATTCTATTAGGAAGTCCTTTCAATTAAGATTGTTGTTTTTCCAGCTCTGGGAAATTTTATTTTATTTATTTTATTTATTTATTTATTTATTTATTATTGATTTTTGAGAGAGAAAGGGAGAAAGAGAGAAACATCCATGTGAGAGAAAAACATTGGTTGGTTGCCTCCTGTACATGCCCAACAGGGGATTGAACTAGCAACCTGGGTATATGCCCTGACCAGGAATTGAACCTACCACCTTTTGATGTATGGGACAAAACTCCAATCAACTGAGCCACACTAGCCAGGGTTAGGAAATTTTTTTTTTTTTTAAATCTTCTCTTGCTTTTTTTCTGTACTATTTATAACTCTTATTGGGTATCACATTTACTATATTCTTTTCCCTTGATGTTTCATTTTCCTTATTTTTCTCTATCTAATTTGACATCTCTTTAATGTAAATTTTGATATTTTTATTAATATTTAAACAGTGAAATCTGGCATACTATTTTCTTTGACTAAAATGAAAATACCAAGTAGTAGGGTAAAATAGGATAGATTGATTTTAATATTTGTGTATTACCAATAATAATGAATGACAAAGGTGGCTTATCACAGCAGGAAAAGGAAGTATTCATCAGTAAATGATCACTGGTTTATTAGAAAAGGACTTAGTCTTATTTCTCATCAGGCATGATATATTTTAAATATTTTATAGTAAAAAGATATTACACACTCACAAAATTTATGAGTAGGGATGTTCATCATTGTATTTATAATATGGGGGTTGCCTAAATGTCTGATAGGACACTTTAATAAGTTGTATTAATATTATAAAAATGCTTTGTAGACACAAAAAGCTACATTTTCAAAAGAATATTTAATGACATTGGAAATTATACATTATCTTATTAATTTATAAATATATATATTTGTATTTATATATTAATATAAATTTTTACACATACATGTTTAAAGAGAAAGACAAGTGGAAAATATTGCTAATACAGGTCCATAATCGTCTCTATGAAACCCTTGGGCCCATGTGTATTTCTGAATTTCAGAATTTTTCAGGTTTTGAAACAGTAATATATGCATTTACATAATAGCATTTAGAGAAGTAATCCTAATCAAACATTAATATTTCTGTAGTGAGACATGTACTATTCACATTTATTTAGTAGGATACATAAAGTCTGTAGTTTCATGTCATCTGAGGACACATTTTGCTACTAAATGAGTTTGTGCCAAACTTAATTTAAAATTTTTCTATTTTTTTAACTGTTTTGTATTTCAGAATTATGTGCATTTTTGGATCAGTAGTACTTAATTTGAGCAATGAGATTTTGAATGATTTTTAAGATTTTGTTCATTATAATTTTTATATAGTTCTATATTTATAGGAACATGTATGTTTGTTACAGAAAACAATATTTTAGTAACAGATTTTTAAATTGTGACTGTATATACTTAATTGAATTAAATTTTCTTATTAAATCTTAGCCTTCCCTAGAGAAAGGAATAAAGGCCAAATTCACCAGAAGATACTCATTCATTATTTAGCAAATACTTATCCAGTAATTATATTAGACAGTTAGACAGACATGAGCAGAGTTGGAAGATAGGCCAGGTACAAAAGGTCACCAGGTTGAAAAGCCTATAGTACCTAGCAACCAGCAAAACTGGGAAATACAGATCTCACCCCTAGGTTGACCTTTCCTACCTTTGCATATCACTGGCCATGCAATTTAGACTCCCTGATCTTTCATATCACTAATCATGCGTTCAGGCCCTCCCCTGACCTTTCCTCCTCTGACATGTCAATAGTCATGTGATAGACCCCCTTGGAGGAGGAACAAGGGACCTAGAGAATAGCCTCATATGACTCCCATACAAGCCCTTGCACCACTACCCTCTTAAGCATTAAGCCGTCAAGACAATGAGATTCTGATCCACATCAGATAATCTTAGGAACAAAGCCCTGGGTCTGTTGACCACAGAGACAGTTTTGGTCAAATTAGAGATAACATCTAGGCCAGTGGTTCTCAACCTTCTGGCCCTTTAAATACAGTTCCTCATGTTGTGACCCCCAACCATAAAATTATTTTCGTTTCTACTTCATAACTAATTTTGCTACTGTTATGAATCGTAATGTAAATATCTGATATGCAGGATGGTCTTAGGCGACCCCTGTGAAAGGGTCGTTCGACCGCCAAAGGGGTCGCGACCCACAGGTTGAGAACCACTGATCTAGGCCCTGTGTTTCAGCTCCAGGCCCAGAAAAGCAGCAAGGCCAGCTGAGATGACTGGCTGTGATGATTAATGACCCTCTGCCCTGGTACTGACCAATCAGTAGAGACCGTGAAAGGACATACCTGGAAGAGCTGATGAATATTCTATTGAGATCTTCTACTGCTACCTCCCCTAAGGTCCCTGCCTTTAAGGAGAGGATAAAAACCCTCAGGACTGAGGACCCAGTGCAAGTGCTGTCTAGCTCGCTAGCTCTAGAACCATTCATGCCTCTTCCTTCAGGTGTGTCTGTTTGCTTTCTTTCTCCTAAGCTCCAAGGGCTCTTCTTTTGCCTCTGTAACTTTTTTCCTGAGCTGACTCAACTTCCTCCATAGCTCACTTCTGCCTCTGACTTTCTAAATAAACTGTTGTTTGTATTTGAGTCTTGGCTCTGAATTCTTTCTTAGCCAAAACTCAAGTGCCATGGTTGCTGAACCAAGGTCCAATCACTGGTAACATTCTGGTGCTGTTTCACCACCAACAGTAATTACTGTTTTAATAAATTAATACTTTAAACCACAATTTAATACCATTTCACACTCTTCTTATTGTCAGAAATTTAATAATTTTTTTAGTGACCAGAAGACTTTATTTTTAGTGAACACATAGCCAAATAGACACAGACTATGACTATAGCAGACTTCAGTATAGTATATACTTGATGAGAAATTTAATAATTTTGACAATTACAGTTCACCAGGATGAAAGGAAGAAATAGGAAATTTTATACATTACAGGTTCAGTATTAATTGATATCACCATTTTGGAAAGCAATTTTTTTAAAGATTTTTTTATTGATTTTTAGAGAGAGAAGAAGGGAGAGGGGGAGAGAAAGAGAAATGTCAATGTGAGAAACATCAATTGGCTGCTGCTTGCACACCTCACACCAGGGATTGAGCCCAAACCTGGGCATGTGCCCTGATGGGGAATCGAACCAGAGACCTTGCATTGCGTGGGACGATGCCCAAACAACTGAGCCACACTGGCCAGGGCTATACTTTTATATTAAAATTTATGTAACCAAAATTAGGGGAGGTTGAGCTGTTATGATTAATCTAATTTTGGTTATCTAAGGTATAATCAGTAGAACTTTGTATTGCTCTATTCTTTATTGTTTAAAATCTGCCTGATCTCTATCGCTACCTTTTCTTGCTTTAGTAAGTAAATACTTGTTTTGTTTTTATTACTTGTCCATGAAAGAACCATGTCTAAACTATCTATCCCAGTTTCTCACACAAGGAAGGTTGGGCATCAAATTATGTGTACAGTGAATTCTTGTCAAACAATTCAGTTGTTGAAAATAATCTAATCTTTCTTTGTTTTGGATTTAGGATGCACTAAACTGATTTTTTTTATTCTTGTAAGCTGAGCTTTTACATTATGTTCTTTCAAGTACATTTATAAAAGTTTGGAAAACATTTAAAAGCAAGATAGAAATGTTAGTACATAATAATTTTGAGTGTTGTTTTTACATTGTAATACAGTGGTTATAATGGGATATGTTTTTTAACTAAAACTTTATAATTGGCCCTGCTAGTGTGGCTTGGTGATTGAGCCTCCACCTATAAACCAGGAAGTCACAGTTTGATTCCCGGTTAGGGCACATGCCCAGGTTGTGGGCTTAAACCCCAATAGGCCGATCAATGATTCTCTTCATTGAAGTTTTTATCTCTCTCTCCCTCTCCCTTCCTCTCTGAAATCAATAAAAATATATTTTTAAAAAATTTAAGAATTGCATGTTTTGACAGATTGCACTTGATTTAGGCAGATGTAGGTAGGACTTAACGGGCATGGAGATAATACATAAATGGATAAAACGTTTTTCTTCTTCCCTACTCCCCATCTAGTACATACACTTTGGTATTTTAAGTGTTTTATATTACCCTAGAGGCCCAGTGCATGAAATTCGTGCACTTGGGGGAGTTGGGGGGAGAATCCCTCAGCCTGGCCTGCGCCCTCTCACAGTCCAGGAGCCCTCGGGGGATGTCTGACTTAGCACTGCCGCAGAAACAGGAGAGGCTCCCGCTACTGCTGCTGCGCTCGCCAGCTGTGAGCCCGACTTCTGGCTGAGCGGCATTCCCCCTGTTGGAGTGCACTGACCACCAGGGGCAGCTCCTGCATTGAGTGTCTGCCCCTGGTGGTTGGTGCACATCATAGCGACCGGTCATTCCACTGTTTGGCTGATTTGCATATTAGCCTTTTATTATATAGGATAGTTTCTTTATTTCTTGTGGTCTGTTTGATAGAGTTAATTCTCTGAAAAGTTTTTGGCTTATTTTTAGATTGGCCAAAGAAAAAATGATGTATGAAAAAGAAGCAAAACAACAAGAAGAAAAGATTGAAAAAATGAAAGCTGAAGATAGTGAAAATTATGCCCTTAAAAAGCAGGTAAGTCCTGCCAGTGTGGCTCAGTTGGCTGGGAATCATCCCATGTACCTAAAGATTGTGGTTCGATTCCTGTCAGGGTACATGCCCAGATTGCGGGCTCAATCCACAGTAGGGGGCATGCAGGAGGCAGCCGATCAATTATTCTCTCTCATCATTGATGTTTCTCTCTCTCTCTCCCTCTCCCTTCCTATCTGAAATCAATAAAAGTATTAAAAAAAAAGAAAAAGGCAAGAAAAATATTTTTTAAAAGCAGGTAAAATTATATCTTAAATAATAATAGCTGCCCTAGCTGGTTTGGCTCAGTGGATAGAGTGTCGGCCTGTGGACTGAAGGGTCCTGGGTTCAGTTCCAGTCAAGGGCACATGCCTGGGTTGCAGGCTCAATCCCCAGTGAGGGGCATGCAGGAGGCAGCCAATTGATGATTCTCTCTCATCATTGATGTTTCTTTCTCTCTCTCCCTCTCTGAAATCAATAAAAATATTTTAAAAAAATAATAATAGCTAACATCTACAGAATACCACATTAACTAATTTATTAACACCCCTTTGAGAAGGTCCTATTATTTACTTCTTTACTATTAAAACCTCCATTTAAAAATGAAGAAACTGAAACACAGGTCAAATAATTTGCCCAAGGTCACACAACTATTAAGTGGCATTTTGGACACTGGCTCTGGAACTTGTACTCTTAACCATTAAGTTATTCTGCCTCTCCAATTTTAAGTATTAAATATAAAAATGACCTAATCTTATCTATCTATATATATATAAAAGCCTAAGCAACCATTATGACTGAACGACCAGAATGACCAGTTGGCCAGTCACTATGATGCACACTGACCACCGTGGGGCAGACGCTCAATGCAGGAGCTGCCCCCGGTGGTCAGTGCGCTCCCACAGGGGGAGCACTGCTCAGCCAGAAGCCAGGCTCACGGCTGGCGAGCGCAGCTGTGGTGGCAGGAGCCTCTTCCAACTCTGCGGCAGCACTAACAAGCAGCGGCAGATGCAGCGAGCCCGGATGAGTGCAAGTGGCGCAGCGCCTGACCCCGGCTTGGGCTCCTCCCTGGCCGCCTGCTGCTTGGTGCACTGCTACATCCCTCAGGGGATGTCCAACTATCGGTTTAGGCCCGATCCCCGTAGGCCAGGCAGTTGGACATCTCCCGAGGGGTCCTGGATTGCGAGAGGGCGCAGGCCAGGCTGAGAGCCCAACCCCCCCCTTGTACGAATCCATGCACCAGGCCTCTAGTATTAAATATATTTAAATTCACAAATATTTCCCCAAACTGATGTAAAGACCACCAAAATAAAATATACTTTACCTTTTTCAGTAGCTACTTTTGATTATCTTCATGACAGATTTTGATCTCCTTAGCATTGCATACGAGGCTTTTCTTGATTTTGATACCTGCTTATCTCTACAACCTTATCTCTTGCCAATTCCTACCTGGACCTCTTAGTTTCTGCCTTTTAGTTTCCTGAACATACATGCTCTTTCTCCTTTAAGGCCTCTGAGATATTTGCACACGTCTGGGCTGTTCTTCCTACTCCTTTTAGCTTCCCTCTCCTTATTAATTCCTATTCACCCTTTACACCTCCCCTACACTCCACCTCAGTGCTGAGTTAGGTGCCCCTCCTCTGTGCTCCCATAACATCTTATTTACTCCCATGATAGCATTTATTGAATATTCTAGGCTAACAAAAAAAGAGGCTGTCAGGGGAACTTCCTCATATTCCCACCACAAAAATCTATCAACCTACCTACATCTGTACCCATAGCACCTTCTTTCATATTAGAGTGAATTGCATGCCCTAGCCCTGGTTACAGCCGTTAGTGACATTGTTATTTCTTTCCCTTATGTAACCTCAACAGCATTTGATACAGTAACCACTCTCTCCTTGACACACACTTTTATATTGGCATCTTTAATAGAATAGTCTCCTGGTTTCCTTTCTATTACACTGCCAGTATTCCTCAGTTTCCTTTTTTTTTAATTTTTTTAAATATATTTTATTGAATTTTTACAGAGAGGAAGGGAGAGAGATAGAGAGTTAGAAACATCGATGAGAGAAAAACATCGATCAGCCGCCTCCTGCACATCTCCCACTGGGGATGTGCCCGCAACCCAGGTACATGCCCTTGACCGGAATCGAACCTGGGACCTTTCAGTCTGCAGGCTGACGCTCTATCCACTGAGCCAAACCAGTTTTGGCTCCTCAGTTTCCTTTACTGAAACTCTTTTTCCTCTCTCCCTCCTCCTCCATTTATTTATCTACCCCACCTCTACATACACACATTTTATTAAACCTTTAAGATTTCTAAAATCCCTCTCTATGTAATCTCCTATAACTTTAAGTACCATCTTTATGCCCATTTATTTACTCATTCAACAGATATTTATTGATATATACAGTTCAGGTACTCTTATAGTCATGAAGTTAAAAACAATAACACAACAAACAAAATCCCCCAAATCCCTAGTGCCAGTATCTCCCAAATTTATATCCCTGGGCCTGACCACTCCAGAGATACAGATACAGATATACATATACATATACATATACATATACATATACATATACATATACATATACATATACATAGATATTCAACTAATTACCTGCTTCACATATCCTCGGGGTTGTCCAAAATAAAAATCTTGATCTTCCCTCAACCCAACCCATTCCCCTAAAACAGCAATTCTCAACCTGTGGGTCGCGACCCCTTTGGGGGTCGAACGACCCTTTCACAGGGGTCGCCTAAGACCATCCTGCATATCAGATATTTGCATTACGATTCATAACAGTAGCAAAATTACAGTTATGAAGTAGAAACAAAAATAATTTTATGGTTGGGGGTCACAACATGAGGAACTGTATTTAAAGGGCCAGAAGGTTGAGAACCACTGTCCTAAAACAAAAAGCTATCTCTCTTATTTTCCTCCTCTCTTGTAAATGGTTACTTCCACCCATCCAGATTCCCAAACTAAAAATTTAGTGGGTCCCTTCTTGATACGTCTCTTTCTTTCTAATAACCACATCTAATAACATCAAGTCCTGTTTCTTATTCCCTCTATTTCTTTCTACTGCCACTATCCTAGTCCAGTTCACTATCATCTGTTGCTTATACAATTGCAAATGCCTCCTGGTTGGCATACCTGTCTCTTGACACCCTCTATTCCTTCCCTACCACAACACCCAGATTGATCTCTTCAAATTCACTTCTTTAAAATCCAAAGTCCAGTGCATCGAGAATAAAATCCAGATGACACTAGGTAAAAGGAAAGTATGAACAATATATACAGATTAATCTCAAGATTTATATTTTAAATCAGCTTTATGAACTCTGTGGTTTTCACCCTATAAATTATGTTACAAATGGTGATAGTGCACAATTAATCCAGACTTAATTTTGCAAACGTCATCACTTAAAGTGGATTTTTCTGTAGGTAGTTGCTTTTTGTGGTGCAAAATGAATGCAGTGGCACCTGAAACATCTTCTTCCCCAAGCTATTCAGGAAGAAAACCTTTTTATTTTCTTGAGCTTCTAGGAGAGCCTCCCTCCTCTGTGTGTGTATACAAAGGACGTTTGTGTGTCGGTTATTCATAAATTGGGGAGGATTTGAAAACGTGTAAATATAATATGTCCCAAATATGTTGATCTTGATGAACTAACAGCTCTTCAAATCCTACAAATCTTCATAAGATTTACATATTAATAGAGCCACTCCTTTTTTTAATGTTTGCATGATACCTCTTTTTTTCATCCTTTTCTTTTCAATCTGTCTATTTTGTTATGTTTGAAGTGAGTTTCTTGTAGACAGCAAAAAGTTGGATCCATTCTGTGAATGTTTGTCTTTTAGCTGGTGAATTTAGATGATTTATATTTAAAGTAATTAGTGTTCTTGTCAGGGTTTAAGGGACCAGATTATTTTTGACTCATGGGATTCTTCTTACATCCGTAACCATTCAGCAGTAATCACAAACATAAGTCAAATGAATTTCTTCTTGTTTGAGAGAAGGATTTTCCAAAAGTGAGCATTCCAAGAAGCCCATGTGGAAGCTGCAAGGCTTCTTAAGATCTAGCCTCTGGTCTTCTGTCCCAGAATCCCACCTCCATTACATTCCGTTGGTCACATAGGGCTAACCCAAATTCAATGTGTAAGGTAACTGAGTAAGGCAGAAATTCTAGGAAGTAAGGATCATTGTGGGCCACAATGGAGACTTGCTAGCACGACCACTAATTCACATGATAGAGTTGAAATCAGAGTTATGAGCAGACCCTATCATTTAGCTAATCACTCTGGGACTTGACTTTCTAATATGTAAATTGAGATTGAACTATATGACCACTTATGTCCCTTCTGACTCTGATTCTCCATCTGAGTTTAAAAGAAATTGATCAGATTTTAGTCCAGTGTTTATTCATTGTTATAATCTGAGCCTTGCTAAGCCTCCCATAACTTTCATTTTATCTGAATAACTTCCGCAAAAAATTGTAATTTGTTTTAAAAGTAAGACATTAGTAGGACTGCATCCTGTTGTGTTCCCCAAAGGTTCCTTGTACCTCCCAATCTGTGTCAAGATCCTGACTTAACTCCAATCTTGTCATAGCATTAGAATAAACTGACAGTTTATTCAGATATTTTCAACAGAGGCACCATTCATTTGAGTGACTTCCTCCCAAAGGGAACACTTTGAAAGGTAATACTCATTTAGCTTAGTGAAAGGATTTTGAGTATGTCTTTACTATGTAATCACACCTTATATACTGTCTTTTAAAATTATTTCTGACAGTTGTAATTCATTGTTATAAGGTAAAGTATATGATTTATGACCTTGGTAGAAATGTGGTTTATGGACTCCAAATCATTGTCACCACTTTACTGGAAGCCTTTGGCTCCCTGTGGCATGCTCTTATAGAAGTAGTGTCAAATGTTTGTTTTCATGTTTATGCTCCTATCCTGGATTGGAAGATGGAGACCTTCTCTTTTTCATCTTTGTATCCACTGTACCTGGTGTTCTACAGCTGTATAGGCTGCTTAATGAATGAATTGGAGCTGGTGTACAGGAAAGACTGAACTTTGTCCTCACATAGGTCAGACTCCCATTTTCATAAACTGATTCTTGCTCTGTGAGAATGGATAAAATAATAATGAGTAGAAGTTATTTTGGATAGCATTGTTTAAAGTTTATTTCAGCAACAACTTACTAAAGCTTTAAAAAAGTTTACAAGTATACATTTTGGCTTATCATGTGTTTGACCTAATTCTTTCTATTTGTGTCATCTTGTTTAATTTCTATAAGCTATTCTCAAGGGAAGTCCATAGGAGAGGAAATATGAATGGCTTACCTAATGAAATGTGCCAGCCACTGATTTTTTTTCACATGTATTCAAACCAGATAAAAATAATTGTGATAGCAATTAAATATCTAGGCATACTATGCTTAGCTGTGAAGTAAAGCCATGATTCTACATTTGAAATTTTTAACCTGTACCTTATTAGTAAAAGAATTACAAGTTCAGCAATAAATTTTCACCTGAAAAAATATGGACAGAGCATCCGTGTATATTGTAATACTGAATTACTGAATTTTTTTATAGTATGAGCTATGACAAAACTGTTGGGGAAAGGAAGGAAGGTACTGGGACTTATTAAAGATTCTGTTAAATATAGTATGATTGCCATTAAATTGTCTTTATTTTATATGAGCTAGGTAATAAAGCTTCTTAGTAAAAGTTCAGATTTTGTACCCATTTAACCAAAGTTATTTGATCAAACATGAGTTTTTGTCCTTTTTTGTTGTTATTATTAATTCTTATCCACAGATATTTTTCCATTGATTTTTAGAGAGAGTGGGAGGGAGGGAGGTGGAGAGAGAGAGAAACATTGATGTGGGAGAGAGACATCGATTGGTTGCCTCCCTCATGCTCTGTCTGGGGCTGGGGATCAAACCTGCAATCCAGGTATATCTGCTTGACCAGAGTAGAACCCATGACCCTTTGGTGTGCCAGCCAATGCTCTAACCACTGAGAAACACCAGCCAGGGCCAAACATGAATTTTTGGAAATAAATACATAAAAGATCTGTGTCACTTTCTGAGAATAGTTTAAGGAAATATAGCTTCTTCCCCACCTTAGGTAAAAGACTTACTTGAGGTCCAACATCTGAAACTAACTTATTTACCCTCTTACTGATTGGGTTTCCCAGCCATTGATTTGATATTTTTTTATGATTTTATATGTTACCCATATATCAGATTTGAATGATTTGAAGTCCAGAAATATCTGCTGGGTTAAATATTCCTGTGTTTAATTCTGTAGTGTCTGTCTTCAGGAGGAATAGGCAGAAGTTCAGATTCAGAGGGGTGCCAGGTTGGTAATTTGGCTCAAACTACATGGGGAGAATAATCTGTCTCCTAAAATGAAGCACAAGGATAAGTAATAACTTTTTATGCATGATAAGCATCAAAAATATGAACCTGCTGGTCTTTGCTTTTCATTTTTCTTTACCTCTGTCTTTCAGTGAGAACCTCCTGCAGTGTGCACACAATGTGATCAATAACTCAATAACTTTTTTCATGCAGTAATTATCTCCATGTGATATTATCTGAACACTGTTTTTCTTTATTACTCAGAAGATGCAGGAGATATTTATATAACCAGCTGATCCCATTTTGGATAAAGGTGCTTCGTGACAGCAGGAGAAATAGTTTATTTTAAATAGCCTTTTAAAATAAATGCTCTATGGAAAGCTTTTCTAGTTAATTTTCACTTAGCACAAAAAGGTGATTACCAAATAGGTTTAGATCTATAACTTGTATTTTATATATTTTACAGCATGATAGTCATTCTAACTTCTAATAAACACAATTTAAATTAAAATATTGAACTGTTTTACATATCCATAATTTTTTTTCTGATTCCTCTAAATCACTTTAAACATTTACAGAGGTGTTAGCTAAACACATACGTTCTATTATTTCTGCATGTCTCACAGATACTCTTATTATAGGCAGAGATCCTGCAAGAGTCCCGGATGATGATCCCAGATTGTCAGCGCAGGTTGGAAGCTGCATATACTGATCTTCTGCAGATATTAGTAAGTAAAGACTTCTCTGTCTTTTGTTTAAAATTTTTTTCAATTTAATATATAAAAGGCCAAAATTTTAAATATTTTTATGCTGAAAAATAGCTGGTGACATATTTTGTTCACTTACCCTGTGTACTAGTATATTTTAAAATAATTAATGGATTGTAAATTGTGTTTAAGTTATGCCTCCAGTAAAACTACTATGTCTAGTATGTTTATTCTGCTTATTTAAACTTAAATAAATATATTTGAGTTAACATGTTAGGTATTCATGGTACTAATAATGTACACCAGCATCTTGAATTATTTGGTTTTGATACATGAAGATCTTTTTTTACACATTGTTTGAAATTTTAGAAGATCCAGATGTTTCAAATAAATTTGGCATAATAAAAAGGATCTGGAATTCTTTCAGATTGAAACCTTAATTAATTTAAGTGGAAAACAAACCCTATAATATAGACAGTCCTCTCATACTAACTTGGAGGTGGATAACACTATTAAACTTGCTTTATAAATGCCTTGTGATACAGTGGTAGAGTCATTTTATAAAGAATTCTAAGAATAATTAAAAGTCATCTTATTCCCTTCCTAACACAGATTAAAGTATAATACTGCATACAAGCCAGTTATTACTATTGTTTAATAATAATTTGATGAATTCTAACATTTACTAATCTTATTTTATATTTATATTTCTTGAGCTAATATTAATTACTAGCTACACAGCTGTCTCCTGACTCGTAGTTGTTCTCTGTATAACAATAATAATGTGAGGCTTTTTCAGGATGATCATATGTATTCTTTGAAAGAATGAGATTTGTTTTCCCACCAAAATAGTATTAGGACTGAATCTGTAGAGAGAGAGAGCAATGTTCACATTTTACTTTAATTTTGACATAGAGCTCCATATTTACCTGTCGGAACCTTTTAAAGGCAGGATAACTTTCCTTAACAGCCAAAAATGAAGCTAAGATTTTGAAATAAAAGTAGATGAAAGCAGGAAATAATTACTCTATTAAAATACACCCAGAGACAGAAGCACCATCTGTATTTCCTAACAATTTAAATGACTTTTTTCTCTCGTGAATCTAGTAGCTGAGAAAGTAATAGAAAGTGCTTGAAAAAAATAGTTTTGTCTTTGGATGATGTATTCGTGGATGTATTCAACAATATCTCTACCCTCAAAGAGCTTATATTTACTGAGAGAGAACAAAGACATGTTTAGATATAATAGAGGTTTAAGAAATTCTTAGCTATACTAGTAGTCTGAATTAAGAAATTTTTACTCCTTTTGCTTTGTTTTATATTAAATAAACACACATTTTACTCCCTCTGCTCTGTAACTTATATATCTCCATCTTTTATTGACCTGACATGAATTACTGACCATAGCTTTATTTATTTATTAAAAACCAAGCAAAGTTTCCTATGCATAATAACTTATGTAGTATTATTTCATTTATTTTTTACCAGTAAAAGTTTTCTGTATAAAGTATCAAGGAAAATTTCAGTCTTTATATATCAGAAAAGGAAAGATGTTAGTATTTTGTTTCCTTGTAGTAGGGTATATAATGCTCATTAATAAGCAGGCATTTCAGTTTTATAATTCAAAGATTGTACTTAACTTTGGTGTGACACCAGTAGTTTTCTTTGTCACTGTGAGTAGTTAGTTGAAGGGTTATTTTGTTTTAAGTTTTATTGTATATGTAACACGTTAATAAATCATCATGTTTAACTTTTAGTCCATGACTTATAAAAAATCCCTTTTGTATTGTGATGTGTTGACAAGAATAAATTTTTAAAGTTTTTTTGTTAAATTTTTATTCACTTAATGTCAATAGCTTTACATGTTTTTCACTTATGATGTGAGAATACACAGTGAAACCAAACCAAACCTATGTCCATTGTTACCTGTAAGAAAAGCTTGGGATCCTTTTTCTTTTAATTTTTGAGCTGTTTACATTGATGGTTTGTAATATTTGAGAAAAATAAAGTACTAAAGTTTTAAAAAGATAAACTTCCTTTCATTATATTTCATTTCAGGAAAATGAAAAAGAATTGGAAGAAGCTGAGGAATATAAAGAAGCACGTTTAGTACTGGATTCAGTGAAGTTAGAGGTCTGAAGCTTTTTGTAGAGGGTGCTTTTTTGCAATTAATCCTGGGATTCATTCCACATTTTATTAGTTTTGACCACTGCTGTGTGTTCAAGTAGGATGAGAATGTGATTCTTTTTATGCAGTTGCATATATTTTTGTTTGCCTAATTTAATGTGTCCAATAAATGAATTCGTCTAATAAAATTGTTTATTTTATACTTTTTTACAAAATATTTTAATTAACCTTTCATTATTAAATCACAGACTTTTTTGACAAAATTAGAATCTGTTCGATTGCTTCATAAGCATGGCTTGAGTTAAAAACAGGTATCAATACCATTTTATTTTTTTAGACAAAAATCCAAAAAAAATTTTTTTTTAATTTTATTATTTTTATTCACTGTTGTACCTATAACAATGCCTGGCATAGGGAAAAGAAGTAGAAATAATACATATTTGAAAAATAAATAATACATATTTGGTGAATAAATGCATGAACTAACATCAGTATTGAGTCCTGATTTTTTTCTACATAAAAATCTAAATTTTAACAGTTTATTCTGAATAGGGTATATCTCCCTAATAAGAAAAGAAGAACCTCTCTATGGATGAGGCCTCACATATTTATGCCTTCAAAGCCTAACAGTTTCATTATTATAAACTAATCGGAAACATTTAAATTTTTTTCCAGAAAGACAGATTTACACAGAAAACACCAACCATTCAAATAAGATTCCTATGAACAATAAAGAATTGAATTGTATTTTAAGGGAATAATAATTATTGTCCATTGGTTTGCTGGGAAATGTTTAATGGCTCTTCGAGTTGGGAGAGGAACCTCTCGGTTGTAGCTTTTGCTGATTTTTGTAATATAAATTCCACCACTGTGAGTGATTTTAAGCTATTAACATGACATCACTGAGCACAGAGTTGGGAAGATAGGAGCCAGCTCCAAAATACACTCTGGCCATAGCTAAACCTGGATTATTTTTGATTAATTGGAAAAGGGCATTGCTTTATCACAAGGTATTTTTTTTTTTCAGTACAATTATAAGTCCATTACCTAACCGTGGGAGTTTATTTTCTAAAAATATATGACAACTCATTTAGTTTTCTTCTATTTTTAGAAAATGTGTATGAGCTTATATCACCAGCCTAACATGAGCAGTGATCTAATGAACCAAAATAGTAATAATAGCATTTAAACTTTAAAACTAATAATTGAAAAAATAATAAACTTGAATTTTTGCAGCTATAAAATACATAATTAGAGTATGGTTGGTCTGATTTTGGAAGTTGCAAATGATCACTAGAAATCAAAACATGTACTGGATATGTCAAAAAGATTAGAGAAGGGGAAAATAATACTGTTCTTTCCTAATGTTATTTATAAAGGCTACTCTTGTTTTAAAACACAGAATGTAACATTTATAAAATCTTTATATGTGCACAAAATTACTTCATCAGAGAATAACATCATAAGAAGCATTTCTAAATTGATGTCATCATCTTAAAACATATTATATGCCATTTTAAAAGTATTTGAGTAGGGGATAAGAGTGAGGAAATAAAAACTATAATTACAATATAAAATTTTATACTAATGTTCAATATTAGAGATTTTAGTACCAGGAGACTTGAAAATATTTTGTAAATGGAATTATTAATCACCAGGACAGGTTGGCTTTTTTTTTGTATACTTAGTTCTCCAAATAGGATATCATTTAAAGAAAGCATTTGCATGTGTGTGTTTTTTTTTTAATGAAATGTAAAACATTTCATTTTAATCTTTTGCTAAATATATAAATATTGTATGTGTTCATAGCAAATGGTTAACTGACCAACCAATTAAAGCTTTAAGAGAACATATCATTGGATATAGATATAGATAACCCTAAAAATAAGAGAAAAATAATATTGAAGGAAGTTTTATAGCCAGGGCCTGAATCTTGTTTAATGGGAAAAATTATTTTCTTGCCAAAAAGAAAGAAAGATTAAAAAAATGTGTGTGTGTGTGTGTGTGTGTGTGTGTGTGTGTGTGTATCTTTAGACAATTCCTATCTCAACTATAGATTTTATACTGGATCTCTCTTCAGGTACTGATGAGAAGCAGCAAAAAGCTTACCATTCTGTGAAGGATTATTCCTGGGAATTTCTGACACATTCTGCTTACATTTTTATGGCCAAGAGGCACATTAAATTAAGAACAGTTGTAAGTAATTCAGCATTAACTTGTTTTTAAGCTTTTATTAAAATCCTAGACCTGAGTAACAATAGATAGAAATTTCCAAAAGTAATGTTGCCTTTTCTCCCTGCTGCCAACACCTGACCCCCAACCAACATATAGCAGTTGCTAAATAAATATTTGTAGAATAAGTGAAAAGCAAGAACATCTCTAACTTCTGGAGTGAGAGAAAGAATGCTATGAAGGATTCCATCACATCCCAAACATAATACAGAGCTTTTCAAACTGTTTAGATCACAAACTTCACTAAGAAGCATTTTCCATTGTGACTCAATACATACAGGCAGGGTCTATATATACATAAAATAAGGAGTATCTTAATATGTACAATTTCTCAGATGTTTTTTATTCTGTTCCTTTTTTTAAATAGTCATCATGACCACCTGCTGTTGGGTTGTGAAAAACACTACCCTGATACAATAATATATAAAAAGATGATTTTTGTAAAAATTCCATCTATAAAACTTCTAAGTTGTCAGAGTAGTTGTGTAAGTGAATGTGCACAAAGTTATACACATTGTTGGCATAGTGTCATGGTAAAGTATAATCACTTACCATTTGTTAGGTGTCCTTAGTCCTTGCACAGATAATACAATGGCTTCCGTAGAATAGATAGGCAAAACAAAGACATACAAGTGATAGAACCAAGTAGTAAGCCCAACTTTTTTCTATAGTTTTCTGTACAGCAAAGGGCACATCATTTCTAAGAAAGTTTATAGATAAATAGAAATAGAACGTGTGGAATGTGTAAAGTCACCAAATCTAGACTAGTTTTAATGCTATTAAGTTCTAGAATTTCACTTGGACATTCTTGGCTAAAGGGGATTCAGTTCTAGTAAATCAAAGTACTTCCCCAAAGACCTGGACAGCAGCTTTCCAGCTGGGCTTTTAGGACATTTGCATTCTGGAGAGGTATCAACATCCTAAGAACTAGGTTATTTATCCTTATTCCTATTTTGTTCCAGGTGGATAAGTATGTAAAAAGTTCCTTGGGAAGGAATGGGATGAGTAATGAAAGATGGTTAAAACATTATATCATAACTAGAGGCCCAGTGCATGAAATTCGTGCACGAGTAGGGTCCCTAGCAGCTATCGTCTGGGGCCTCCCTTCCCCAGCTGCCAGCCGAGGCCTTCCTTCATTCCATGCCGCCCCCTGGTGGTCAACGTATGTCATAGTGAGCGCTCCAACTCCCAGTAGATGGAACTCCCAAGGAGACACTTTGCATATTAGGCTTTTGTATATATATATACTAGAGGCCCAGCACGCGAAATCGCGCAAGACCCAGACCTGCTGCGCTGGCGGGACTGAGACTTGCCATGCTGCGAGACCCATCAATGCACCTCCTGGTGACCAGTCGTTTGGCCATTACAGCATTACGGCCACTGGCCTTTTATAATATAGACTAGAGGCCCAGTGCATGAAAATTCATGCACTCAGGGGTGGGGTAGTTCCTCCGCCAGGCCTGCGCCCTCTTGCAGTCCAGGAGCCCTCGGACATCCTTAGTGCGTCGTGGAGGCGGAAGAGGCTCCCGCCACTGCCGCTGCACTCACCAGCCATCAGCCCAGCTCCTAGCTGAGCAGTGCTCCCCCTATGGCAGCTCACTGACCACCAGGGGCAGCTCCTGCATTGAGCGTCTGCCCCCTGTTGGTCAGTGCACGTCATAGCGACCTGTCGTTCCGCCGTTTGGTCGATTTGCATATTACACTTATATAGGTTGTTCATTTAACATTTTTCAACTTTCTGGTCAGGAACTTTCTGCTTAAAGCCTAATATTTAAAAATTGTCTCTATGCTTATACCTGTATATTGAATCACTTCCAAATTGAGCAGTCAAACCTGGTTAATCTAAATTACTTTGCAAACTTCATTACATTACTTGGCTTTTTAAAAATTCTATCAAATTTAATAAGGACATATTCTACAGCTGGTTATCTTAAATCTTATTATTTGGTCATTTAGATAAACCAAGGACAGATTAATCCTTTGATGGCACGTCAAGGCTTTAAATGTTAGTATAAACTTGGCATGCATGTGAGCAAGAGCTGTTAAGCATTTGGCATGAAAGGGTTAATCAGATAATTTAGTCCTTGATAATCTTTTGAGTGCTTTAGTTGGAAAGAAATTGAATGCTTTAGAAATGGTGCATTATGAAACAAGTTATAAGTATTAGTGTACTTGAAATTTTCAAGAGTGCTTTATATAAATCTACATTGCACTTCAGTGTTAGTCTTAATGCTCTTGTAGTATGAGAGGTATTTGTTCATATATTGGACTGTTGCACAGAAAGGTAAAATTAATTTGTGTTACAGTAGATCTGCACCTTTGTTTTGTGCTTTCTGTTGACTGCTGGATAGTTGACAAGGTACTATCATGTCACAAGAGGTTAATATTTTTAATGCACAAAGAGCCCTTTCAAATTAATCAAATCCCCACTATATAAAAAAATAGAGAAAGCATAGAAATACACAATTCATAAATGAAGAAATGCAAATGGGTAGTTTTTTTTAATGTTTCACCTCAATAGTAATCAAATTCAAACTTCAAAAAACACAAAATTTTTATTTTTTAATTTATTGATTTGAGAGAGCGAAACATCAATCTGTTCTACCCTATTATGCATTCATTGGTTGATTCTTGCATGTGCCCTTAATGGGGATTATACCCACAACCTTGGCATATCAGGATGATGCTCCAAGCAACTGAGCTATCTGACCAGGGCATGAAGCAAAACTTTTAAAGATGAGTACCTGTTGGCTATGTGATAAGGTAGTGATCAATGAAATTAAAGGATAAAAATGAAAATATTGGAAAAGGTATTATTTTCATGTGCAGTTGATAAGATATATATCAGGAAAACACGAGTCTGTCATCCTTAAAATAATTAGAAGCAATGAGGAAATTAAAGTGGGTACTTGCAAAATGAATATATAGAATTGTTATGGGTTGAATTATGTCCCACCAAAAGATGTGTTGAAATCCCCACCCCCACTACCTCAGAATATGACCTTATTTGGAAATAGGGTCCTTGCAGATATTGGTTAAGATGAGGTCTTGCTAGAGTAAGGTAGGCCCCTAATCTGATATGACTGATATCCTAATAAGACAGTGTGAGGATATGGAGAAGGCCACATGAAAACAGGCAAGATTGGTATTATACAGCTGCAAGTCAAGGGACACCAAGGTGACACTAGGAGGAACAGATTCTCACTTAGATCTCTTGAGAAAGAGAGTATGGCTGTCAAAACCTAAATTTTGGACTTTCAGCCTCTAAGACTGTGAGACAATAAATTTCTGCTTTTTTAAGCCACTTAGTTTGAGTTGAAGTGATAGAAATACATAGAATCCAAAAGCTTTTCTATATGCCAGCAATAACCAAATATAATGGGAAAATACAGACAGTCCTCGGGTTCCGTCAGACTCGACGAACATCGTTTCGTGGTTGCCTCGCCATCTCCCATTTATTTATATAAAAAAAAAAGTTCCATCGTTTCGACGTATGTACATATGTGCTTTATGTTTTTTATTATTTATTTACCACAAGTAAAGGTCAGGAATTGTTATCTTTCTTTTATATTTTCTTTACTGTTTCACTTCATTACTGCTGTGTATGTGCTCCATGTGAGTGATGTAGGTGCTTATGTAGGGGGGTTCTGACTTAGGGCGAAAATCGTGTTACATCTCACTGTAGGAACAGATCTCCGATGTAACCCAAGGACCTGCTGTAAACTGCTACTGTGAGTCATAGAAGACATTTTAAAAAATGACTTGTACTATTTATGGAAAGTTAATATTGTCAAAATGTGGTTTCTCCCTATGTCAATCTGTAAATTCAATAAAATAGAATACAAGATTTGGAGAGAGGAGAGGGAATTTTAGAAAATTATTCTCAAATCTAATTTGAAAAATGTTTTTAAACAGGTAATAATGGCTGGAAAGGACATATGAAAAACTAAAGTGATGAAGGATAACTAGCTTTGCTCACTTAAAACTGTCAAGTTGCAATAATTAAACTATGGTAAAAGAATAGAAGATCAAAGAGAATAGAGTCCAGAAAGCAAACAGAAATATGTATCTGGAAATTTAGTATATGATAAGATTATTTCAGACCCCTGTAGATTAATAAATCACTTTGGGATAACTGGCTAACCATTTGGGGGCGGGGGAGGGGGGGGAATAAAGCTGGATCTCTTTCACCTCTCACACCAAAATAAATTTCAGCTGAGTAAAAAAACTTCAATATAAAAAGAAAAAGCTAGAAGAAAAACATTGATGAAACTAATTAACAAAGAATTTTAAATTGATATTATGAAGTGAGAGTATTGGGAAATAGGAAATCTAAGACACAGAACATTTCAGAGCTGGCAATTCTCCACAAATTAATATATAAGTGTAATGCCACAATTATCAAAATTATAGACATAGAGAAAAATAAATGATGAGAAAATCTTGAAAATGGAGAATTTATAAGGAGAAGAGGGGATAAATGTGGGAGGTAAGACAGTTGGATATTGAAACTTAAAACTACTGAATTTAAACTAGCATAAGAGTAAACTATCAGTCAATATAATAGAAAACCCAAACCAGCCCAAAGTATTTATCAATTAAGTATCTGATAGAAGTGGCATTTCAAGTTAGTGGTAAAGAATGGATAATAAATAAATGGAATTAGGAAAGTCATTTACCTATTGAGAAAAAATAAAATAGAGTTCAGTTTCTAGAGAATAAACCTCTTTCTTGGCAAAGTAGAGGTATTGAACCCACTGAGCATTGGAATAGGAATAAGGATGTAATTCATCCAACCCTTAGATCCTACAACATGCTGTAGGGCAAAGGGCCTCACTTCTCCTCTTAGATGCCTCTATAAATACTTATATTAGCCTTTGTTCTGCTAAGTCAGTTACTACTATTCTTTCTACTTTTCATTTTTAGAAATTTTTTTTACATCTTTCATCTACTCTTATCTC